ACTGTCAGTGAGATAGCCACCAGTCCCATATGGCTACTGAGTACTTGGTGTGGTAGTGCAACTGAGGAACTGAATTTTTATTTGGTTTTTAAAAATGTAAAATATAAAGAGAAAAAATTGTCAAGAATTTTTCATCTACATGGAGGAGTAAGACGTGAGCATTAAAAAAAGGAACTTGTTGAAGTGCTTAAAGTTTATTAAGAGTATTCCTCGCCCTCCAAATAATAAGCCCCTTAATTTAATATAACTCCTTAAAATAATTACTCCCTATTTGCTATAGTGAATGTGTTTCCCTCAAATCCATTCATTGAAGCCTAACACCAAATGTGATGATGGTCCTAAAGTGAGCATTTCAGAGGTGACTAGGTCATAAGGAAGGAATCCTCATGAACTCGATTGCTAACCTTATAAAAGGCATTCCAGAAAGCTCCCCTGCCCCTTCTTCCACATGAGGACACAGAGAGGACACAGAGAGGTCTTCTGTGAACCAGGAAGTGGGCACTCAATACACACCCATCTGCCAGTGCCTAGATTTGGCTCTCTGAAGCTTCCAAAACTCTAAGAAATAAATTTCAGCTTTTATAACCACCCAAGCTCTGGTATTGTTTTGTAGCAACCAGGCCAGCCTAAGACTATGTCAATTTCATGAGTGTATATTGACATTTCCTTAATAGATTCACTGGTGTGTACAGGTGCCTCTTAGAGATAAGATAACCCCACTACTCCTTAATGTTCTCTCCAGGATGCCATGGCCATCTTCTGTTTTGGACAACCCTATTCTCAGTTCATGGAAGAGAACCAGATGCAATAGGAGTATTGAATATTGGACAAAAACTCAATATAAATTAATGAATCAAGTCACTTTAAGGCTGCTGTTCCATAACTCCCTCTGCAATAATATAAACTTCTAAAAGTTTATGGGAGATGCCCTGGCCAGTGTGGCTCAGTTGGTTAGTGTTGTCCTGTAACTGAAAGGTTGCCAGTGTGAGTCCCAGTCAGGGCACATACTAAAGTTGCAGGTTTGGTATCTGGTCTGGGAATTTGTGGGCCAAAAATAGAAATGCCTTATGGACACCCCAGTGCCTCCCTTTTAAGAGATGGTCACAAGTGCAGAGCTACTACTTAAGTTTTTAGAAGCTGTTACCTATCCAAGAACAGCTAGGCATGGGATGCACTGTACTCATCAGTATGGGCAAAAAAATAGACTGTGCCTTTGAGTTGTGAGACAGGGACACCTAGGTTATAGCCAGTTTCCATAAGGTCTGGTGTCCATATTGGCAGAGAAGACCCTAGAGAGCTTTTAAGATGAATCTTAGGTTGAATGTACTGGAGATGTGTTTTGGGAAAACCTACAGTTCAATCTTCCCCTTGTGCTTCTCCTTTACTCTCACACTACTCCCACCACCACAAAAAGGCACTACAAACATACACTACACCACAAAATAAGGCTTTTGCTATATTTGCTATGCAGTGTTTCATGTCCCCCTAAAATTCACCCATCAAAGTCTAACCCCAAATGTGATGGTACTATGAAGTGGGCATTTCAGAGGTGATTATGTGAGGGTGGAATCCTCAGGAACTGGATTGCTACCCTTATGAAAAGACATCCCAGAGAGCTCCTTGTCCCTTCCTCCATGTGAGGACACTGAGAGATGACTATCTTCTATGAAACAGGAGGTGGCACTCACCACACCAATCTGCCAGTGCCTTGAGCTGGAATACCCAACTGCTAGAGGTGTGAGAAATAAATTTCTGTCCTGGCTGGTGTGGCTCAGTGGATTGAGTGCTGACCTGAGAACCCAAGGGTCACTGGTTCAATTCCAAGTCGGGGCACATGCCTGGGTTGGAGACCAGGGGCCCAGTGAGGGGCACATGGGAGGCAACCACACATTGATGTTTCTCTCCCTCTCTTCCTCCCTCCTTTTCCCCTGTCTCTATTAAGGAAAAAAGAAACAGAAATGTCTGCTTTTATGAACCACCCAGTCTATGGTACTATCTTCTTTTAAATTTTAAAATTTTCATTTACTTATTTTTACTTTATGATTATTATCTTTATGTAGGGAGGGAAAAAGAGAGGGAGAGAAACATCAATGTACAAAAGAAACATCATTCAGTTGCTTCTTGCATGCTCCCCAACTGGGGACTCTGAAGCTACAACACAGTATAGGTAAGGGATTTGGAATTCAGGAGAGAGGTTAATCAGATATAAACTGCAATCTGGCAATTTCCCTAACATCCTTTCATTTTCTTTATCTGTGTCCTGGGCTGCAGGTTGTCTAATTAGAAATCTATTTGTAAAAATAATGAAAGTACACTCCGCTAATTTGGTGAAGGAAATAGACACGCAAGTCCATGAAGCACAAAGAGTCCCAAAGAAGATGGATAAAAAGAGGCCTACTCCAAAACATCATAATTAAAGTGCCAAAGGTTAAAGATAAAGAGGAAATGTTTTTTTCTTAAAGATTTTATTTATTTTTAGAGAAGGGGCAGGAACAGTAACATTGACGTGTGAAAGATACATAGACTGGTTGCCTCTTGCATACCCCCAACTGGGAACCTGGTCTGCAACCCAAGCATGTGCCCTGACTGGGAACTGAACTGGCACCCTTTGGTTCAGAGTCTAACACTCAATCCACTGAGCCACACCAGCCAGGGCTACAGAGGGAATCTTCAAAGCAGCAAGAGAAAAGTAGTTAAGTTATCTGCAGGGGAGTTACCATATGACTGTCAGCTGATTTTCTCAAAACAAACATTGCAGCCCTGGCTGGTGTGGCTCAGTGGATTGAATGCCGGACTGCAAAGCAAAGGGTTGTTGGTTTGATTTCCAGTCAGGACACATGCCTAGGTTGCAGGCCAGGTCCCTCAATGGGGGGCATGTGAGAAGCAACCACACATTCATGTTTCCCTCCCCCTCTTTTTCTCTTCCTTCCCCTCTCTCTAAAAATAAATAAAAATCTTTTAAAAAAATCAGTTTAAGGTCATTGAAATATAATCCAAAATTTGAAAAACATTAAAAGCAGCAATGTAATACAGGAGTTAAAGAAAATCTTAATACTTATGAGAAATGTAGAAATCTCCTGTAAATGAAAATAATCTCCAGCACCCTGAAATCGGCACAATGATCATAGGAGTGGTCTGACACTGTTGGTGAACTACTGGCAGGAGAAGGCTGTACAATGATTTCTTGTCCATGAAACTTCTTCCCCACTATATCAAACCTCTCTCCACCCTCCCTTTACCGAGAGATCTTAAAATCCTCAGGATCCGCATGTTTGTCACTCCTGAGTGCTGCTAAGTTTATGTTTCCATATCATCTATCACCCAACAATTTATGAAAACAAAAACTAATCTCTTTCAATTCTTGGCTACTCCTTCAATAAAGCTATTGAGCACACCTGGTTATGATCACATATCTTTATTCACTGCTGTATATCACAGACCTAGATAAACCTCTGAAGCAGTGAAGCAATTAGTAATAGATTAGTAAAGCAATGAAACAAAATACCATGGCTATTTTTCCACAATTGTAAATTTTTCTGCTCAAACCTTATAGTATCTTTCTCACCTCACTTTTTCCCCCTAAAATTCTAATGAATAAAAAAGACTGACACTTGTAGAAACAAAAATTTTATGGTAGCCCCATTTCCAGCACAGCTATACTTCACATAAATTTTTTCACCTCTTAGAACTCACTGTTCATTTATTACCACGCATTTAGACTTACCTATTCTCAGCCTTCAGAGCCTTTTGTCTAGCCTAGATGGATATGAGCAGGAATGTAAGTTTGGAAAAAAATGCTCAGTTAATTTTTGCACCAAACTGTCTCCACAGAGACAGAGATACCTTGAGATACAACATAAACATAAAAGTTGTTCGTGTCTTTATGCTTGTAGGTCCCAAAACTGTGCATAATCTATCCCACACAATAAATTGAGCACCCAAGATTAAAGACTTAGGAAAAAGGCCTTGAATATTTTTCAAACCAATGGAGATTAACTTGGCAGTTCTTGTATTGGTGACCTGTACAATAAAAAATTATCACTGTTACATTAAAAAAAAGCATATCCCAAAAAGGCTGTCCTTCTGTAAGATAACAGCAGAACTCAGTCAATTTTCTCTGGGCCAAAAGTCAGTCAAGTCTGCGCCAACTAGTAGGAGTGGAGGGAATAAAGCCCTAAAAAGTTAGGCTACTCCTAATTTTCTTCCACAAATCAGAGAACGGTTACCTGTTGGGAACCGCCCTGACTGGTATCAGAAGCTGAAACCCCCGCCTAGGTTAAGGCTAAGGGAACGCCCTTGGAACCGTGAGCCAGCAAGGAGACAAAAGCTTGTCTTCCTGGCAGGAATGCTGCTTCTGCTGCTTTATTCATAACTGAACCCCAAAAAGCTTGGTCGGTTAGCCAAAGACGGGTAAGATTCCCCAAGGGGGGAACGACCTAAGACAGGCACAATCACTTTGGGAGGCCCCCCAAAAGAAGGATTTGGGGGGCTGCAGCAAAAGGGGGTGATGGACCCTCACTCCTCGGCTTTGACATAGCCTGAGTTCTCAGCATCTGGGAAAAAAACCTCCTTGTCTCTCAGTTGCCTTAGTTCCCTTGCTCCACCTAAGCCTGAAACAATGACAGGGTGGTGCAGCTCTGTACTGAGAAGTGCGGATTCCCCGGGGTGATCAGGCCTAAGAAAGAACATGTAAATTACTGTGAAACCTTCTTTGTTTAGAATGCTCTCAGTTGAATGAGAAGGGTCTTAGGAGGAAGTTATTTTGTTCCTCAGTCTTACAGCTCTTTGACCCCGACTCAATAGACCAGCAGAGTTCTTTGTTTTCTATGGTTCCTTACTTCCCCCTAATGAGTACTGTACTTTACCTGAATTATTATGCAAAATGAGCCCAATAAAAGCAGGTATGGACTGTAAATCGGCGCGCTCCCCACTAGTGGGGGTGGCCATTCCGTCCCTAATTCCCCACAGAAACTAGTCTGTCTCTGTGCATGTGTGTTTTTTCTCGGGTTTTTCGTCGAGCCATCCACAGCGTTCCGTGGTCACTGCTGGCCGGTGACCCATGCGCAACAGTTACCTTCTCTGAACACATTATGATGACGATGCATGAGTCTCTGGGAACACTTACAGGTACTGCAGGTAAAATAACTTCAGCACAGAAAATTGCAGTGACATGAGTCTAGAAAGGGACCTGGGTAAATGAAGAAAGTACATCATTGACATACTGCTTCCTATGTAAAAAAAAGTTTATGGGGAAGTGCTGTAATGTTTATATTCGATTGTATGAGATTTGTTACACAAACAAAGCTTCTTTCAAAGAGTTTGCCTACAACCCGGGGTATGGCTCAGTGGACTGAGTGCCGACCTGCAAACCAAAGGATAACTGGTTTAATTCCCAATCAGGACACATGCCTGGGTTCTGGGCCATGTCTTTGGTAGGAGGTGCTTGAGAAGCCACCACACATTTATGTTTCCCTATCTTTCTCCCTCCCTTCCCCCTCTCAAAAAATAAATAAAATCTTTTTTAAAAATCCCTACACTAGGAACACACACACACACACACACAAATCCCTGTACATTTCATACACATTTAAGACCTTCTCCCCATGTGCTCTTATGTGTGGAAGAAGATTAGAATTTTAGCTAAAAGATGCCCCACATTAACTATATTTATAAGGTTTTTTGTACTGTGTGAACTCTCTGATGATAACGAAGGCCAGTGCTATAGGTAAAAGATTTCCCACATTCACTGCATTTATAAGGCCTTTCTCCTGTGTGAACTCTCTCATGATAACGGAGGCCAGTGCTACGGCTAAAAGATTTCCCACATTTACTGCACTCATGAGGCTTCTCTCCAGTATGAACTCTCTGGTGACGATGAAGTTGGTTTTGAATGAAAGATTTCCCACATTCACTGCACTCATAAGGCCTTTCTCCTGTGTGAAGTCTCTGATGTATTTGAAGGGAATCATTCCTGGTAAAAGATTTCCCACATTCACTGCATTCATAAGGCCTTTCCCCAGTGTGAAGTCTCTGATGACAATAAAGGTTATAGATTCTTTTAAAACATTTCCCACATGCACTGCATTGATAGGGCCTTTCACCAGTGTGTACTGTCTGATGACAACGAAGTTCATTCTTTCGGATGAAAGATTTCCCACATTCACTGCACTGATACACCCCTTCTCCAGTAGGAGCTCTCTGATGTACATAAAGAGAATGGTTCCTAGTAAAAGATTTTCCACATTCATTGCACTGATATAGCCTTTGTCCAGCCTTAACTCTCTGATAACAAAAAGTAGGAATTCCAGTAAAATATTTTCCACAATCATGGCACACAAAACACTGTCTTCCAGCAGGAATACCCTTCTTCTGAACATATGTGTAGTTGCATCCAACAGTTTTTTCACATTCATTCAGGGTTTCATGATTTTTTTGTTTGATAATCCCTTGAGACATCGAGATTTCATCTGGCCTTTCCCTGGTGTAAATAACCTCTTGATGGAATTGTTCTGACTTGGTAAGGATGTCCGATTCAGTTTCCCTACAGGTAAAAAGCTCATGGGACACATTATAATTATAACCCTTAGCCAGTGACATCCTGTCCACATCACTTATGAAAGGCTTCTCTCTCACATGGTACGCCTGTTGGTGGTGACACTTTGTACTGAAATAAAATTGTGTTGCACGTGTCCCACACCTCAATAGTTTCTGGCTGCGTTGTGTTTCTTGATGCTCACTCAAGTGGAAAATACGTCTCAAGATGGGTCCACAACTCTCACAGGGGTGGCTCTTCCAGCAAGGCAAAGCTACCTTGAGATTCTTTGCCTCTGAAACTCTAACAGGAACATTCTGTTCAATTGGTGCTTCCACATCCTCTGCTCCACAACAGGAACCTGAACAAAAGGAAAAGCTGGTGAAGCATATGTTGACCTTATAAAAAAAAGAATATCCTCATCACACATGGCCATCTCTTACAGCTAGGGATGATTCTAAAACCATTTTCAATACAAATGAGACAGACAATGAAGAAATGGCTGTTATACTTTACTTGGCCCCAAAGGTCAGTTAGTGGTGGTGGTCTGACCAAGGAGGTGACACAAGCATAGGATGAAACACAAGGAAGACAGACTAGATCTACTAGTGGTTCTTCCACAAATGGCTTCCTGTAGGACCTTCCAACTGGTGATGTGAGGGTGTATAGGATAATTTGAATGAACTCAGACACATCAACATCAATTGTACTAGAGCATAAATATGCAACTTAGAACAGAGTAGTTGACAAAGTATCAACAATAAACAAGAATAAGTAGGATGGGAAGGACCTGGTAATGGTAACAAAACAGGTCCCTAGTTATGACCTTAGCAAAGCCCATGCCTCAAACCCTCTGCAACGACCCTTCAACAAGGCACAACTGCCTCTGGGTCCATGGGTCCACTCTGCCATGGATGGAGTCATGTTTCTTTTGGGTTGCACAAATGATTCTTCCTCTTAAATCCCAATTGAGCCATTACAGATGATATAAATTATAAGAGAAAAAACTGAAGAGGTGGAGAGCCAGCAGTGGGGTAGAACATCAAAGCACAAAAGGTACCACAGAAAAAAGATCTATGTGAGTGACTTCAAGAAGATAACTGATTAAGAAATACTAGAATTCTCCCTTCTTTCAGAACAAGTAAATAGCTATCCACAAACAGAATCACTCATGGGACAATGGAACAAAAATCTAATTAAGACTAATAAAAAAATCAGTCCTGACAAGGTGGTGACTCAGTTGGTTAGTATGTCATCCTGATACGCCAACATTGCAGGTTCAATACTGTCAGGGCACATACAAGAAGCAACCAATGAATGCATAAATAAGTGAAATAACAAAGTGATGATTTTTTTCTCTTTCTTCCTCTTCCTTGTCTCTCTAAAATCAATTAACAAGCAAACAAATCAAAAGACAAGCATCAAAGCAAAAGTACAAAAAACATAGAACAGCATAGAAAGGATGACTAGAAGGTGGGTTAGCAAACATGTTTGAAGATAGCTACAGTCAAAAACAAGGGTCAGCATTACCTTTTGCAACCACAGTAACTGCTCTAAGGTTGAACTTAGTGGGCTGTTCTGTGGAAAACAATAAACATTTTTGTTTTAAGAATGGAAGAAGCCCCTGCAACATCTGTGAACTTCCCACAGTTTACACATCAGGGGACCCTGCAGAGTTTCTTGGCATGAAATACAGAACAAATCCCTTTGTCTACAACCTAGTCTAAAGAGATAACAAAAATCAGTATTTCCCCAGCAGTATTTGTTTCAGAGACTCTCCAAAACCCTCAACTGTCATTGAAAAGAAATGCTGCCTAAGCAACTATGTACTAGTACATTTTTTGTTATTCTGACATCAGCTCATGCAGCATCAAGGAAACTAGGCTGCTGGAACTTGTCTCAAGACTGAAACACAACACAGACTCAGCCAACCCATAAATCCACATATAGATGGATCTATTCCTCTAGCTAGAATGGGTCCATAAAAGTGAAAGGAGTTACTGCTTCAACAGATGCATAGACATCAATACAGGATTTAAAGAAGTACTAAAAACAAGGACAATATCAAGAGAACATAATAATTTTCCAGTAATCGATACGGAACAAATGGATATCAATGTCTAAAAAGGCCAAAACAACTTCTTGAAGATCAAATTAAAAAATTCTAAATAGAAACTCAATTACACAGGGAAGTATTATTTTTACTAGTAAAGGTGAGAATGAATTCAAATTCACTATACTGTAGCAGTGGACTGGTGAAATGTACATTACATTACTATAATAAAAGTTAAAAATTAAAGCTAGTAAAAAAAGCTAACATTCTATACCTTATTAGATTCATAATAATAAAAATATAAATTGTGATATTAAAAAACATAAAGGGAATTGTCATAGAGAGTGAAAAGGTAGAATTTTTTGGAGCCAATGCAAGTGTTATCAGGATAAAATAAACTGTAAAGTGTATGAGTTGTTTCATGTAAGTCTTTTGCAAATCACCAGCTAAAATGTATGCAATAACTACACAAAAGAGAAAAGAGTCAAATCACTATACAAACTCATCAAATCATGAGGGAAGACCTGAAGACAGGAAGACAAAGGAAGAAACTGCAGTAGGAAGAAACCAGTGAAATAATGGCTCTTTAAACAAATTCTCCAATCAAACGACATATAGTGACCCTGACTAGATGACTGAGTGGATGGATCGGGCATCCTTCCACAAACTGCTGGATCCTTCCAAGTCACTGGTTGGATTCCCAGGCAGGACTCATGTCTGGTACAGAGCCAGATCACAGGGTTTGGGGGTGTGTGCAAGAGACTGTTTCTCTCCCTGTCCTTCATCTTTATAAGTAAGTAAGTAAATAAATAAATAAATAAAGTCTTTTTAAAAAGACACAGAACTGAAAGGCTTTTTAAAAAAGAAACACAATATATGCTACCTAAAAGAAACAGTACACCTTTATGGACACAATCAGGCTAAAAATAAAGAAATATAAAAAATATTTCATGCAAATGAAACCAAAGCACAGCAGCTGTAGATGAGATTCTATCAGGACAAAAAGACCATTTCAAAAACTGTCACAAGTGAGTAAGGTCACAGCCAAATGAAAAAATAAGTCAATTCATCATCAGGATAACAATTTTTTAAGTATCATGTACTAAACAACACAAGAAACAAATATATTAAGTAAATAATATCAAATCTGAAGGCAGAAAAAGAAACCAAATATTAGCAGGTAACTTCAATATTAACCCTTGAAAAACAAGTAGATCATCCCATTCAAAAGAAATAAGGAGTTACTGAAGATTGACTTAAGTTTAGAGCAAACAGTACAAATAGATATATAAAGAACATTCCATTCAATAGCAGCAAAGGATGCATTCTTCTCAAGCATACATGAAACATTCTCCAGGTACATTATATGTTAGGTCAAAAAATCAAGTCTCAAACTTTCAGAAAAAATCACATCAAGTTTCCATTTGATATTGATCACAATCTATGAATCTTGAAATCAACTTTAGTTCCAAGAAATCTTGATTATTCACAAATATGTTGAGTCAGGGCACATGCCTGGGTTTCGAGCCAGGTCCCTGTTTGGGGTCATGTGAGAGGTGAACTAATCAATGTATCTCTTGCAAACATTGGGGTTTCTCTCCCTCTCTATCTCCCTCCCTTTCTCTCTCTCTAAAAATAAATAAATATAATCTAAAAAAACAAATATGATGACGACAAACTCACAGTTATTAACAACAGAACCTAAGATAAAAACAAAAACAAACTAAGCAAACTAGAACAGGAACACAATCATAGAAATGGAGAATCACACGGAGGGTTGTCAGCAGGGGAGGGGGAGGGAGGGGGAAAGGTACAGAGATTAAGTAGCATAAATGGTAGGTAGAAAATAGACAGAGGGAGGTTAAGAATAGTGTAGGAAATGTAAGAGCCAAAGAACTTATATGTTAGACCCATGGACATGAACTAAAGGGGGGGAATGTGGGTGGGAGAGGGTGTGCAGGGTGGAGAGGAATAAAAGGGGTAAAATGGGACAACTGTAATAGTATAATCAATAAAATATATTAAAAATAAATAAGCGATGTTTAAAATGAAATACATTTTCTTTATTTCAATAAGTTGGGAGGAAGGAAGGAAGGAAGGAAGAAAGGAAGACAGGCAGGCAGCAGTAGGCAGACACAGATTACCTTGCGTGTCTAGCGCCAAGAAATTCAATGTTCCCTTTAGGCAGCATAAAGTTAATATTTTTAAGCAATAAAATAACATGACCATGTTTGAAAAAAAATATGTTGAAATTAAACAAAACACTCCTGAACAATCAAGGACAAAAGAAAAAAAAAGACAACTTTAAAATAACCTCTAGATGTGGGGGAGGGGAAAAACTCTAGAGGGAAAGGAAATAGAAACACAATCTACTAAAGCTTATGAATAAAATGCACAAAATACAATTTAAGAAGAAATTTTATACTGATGTGTAAATTAAGAGAAAAGGCCTTGCTCTGAGTGGTGTAAAGTGAATTGAGCACTGGCCTGTGAACTGAAAGGTTGCTGGTTCAATTCCCAGTCAGGGCACATGCTTGGGTTGTGGGCCAGGTCACCAGTGGGGGTTACTCAAGGGGCAACCACACACTGGTGTTTCTCTCCCTCTCTTCCTTTCCCTAAAAATAATTTTTTAAAAAAACTGTCAAATTCCCACTATAAACTTCTGAAATTAATAAACAACTTCAGATTCCTGCCAGGTAGCAGAGTTGGCAAGAGTATGATCCCAATGTGATAAGATTGTGAGTTCTATTCCCCATCAGGGAACATGCACAGAGCAGCCAATGAAGGCAGACATGAGTGGAACTGCAGACCAATGTTTCTTTCTCTGTCTCTCTTCCTCTCCCTAAAATCAATAAATAAACATGTTTAAAAATACATAAATAAATTGAAAAAACTTACAGGATATACCACCAACATACAAAACTCAGTTTTATTTCCACGCACTAATAATAAATTACTTGATAAAGAAATGAAGAGCCATGGCCAGGTTGCTCAACTGGTTGGAGCAATGTCCAAAACATACAAAAGGTTGTGGGTTTGATTCCAGGTCAGGGTACACAAGTGGTTGCTGGTTGGGTCCAAAGCTGGGGAGTATGTAGGAGGCAACCAAGTGATTTTTCTCTCTTACATCCATGATTCTGTCCCTCTTCCCTTCTCCCTCTCATTCTAAAATCAATATACATTTCCTTAGGTCAGTATTACAAAGTAAATAAAGAAATGAAGAAGGTAGTTAACTTTATAATAGCATCAAAAACAATAGAGTACATAGGAATAAATTCAAACAAAACAGTTGACATGTCTATACATTAAATATGAGAAAAAAGTGATAAAAGACAAGGAAGAGAAGACAAAAATATGCAAAGACAGCTGATGTTCTTGGATTTTAAAGTATAATATTGCTAAAATGTGTATAGTACCAAAATCAGCCTATAGATGAATTACAATTTTTACGGTAAATGGAATTTTACACATAAAAAAATCTTGAAATGCATAGAACATCAAAAGACTTCAAATAGTACAAGGAATGTTGTGCAAGAACTTGGTGGCATCAGACTTCAATCTATTAAAAAGCCAAAGCACCTAACTAGTGTGTTATCAAAATGAACAAAGAAATACAGAGAATAGAACAGACAACACAGAAATAAAGACAGGCACAGACATTAAAGTAATCTTTGACAAAAAAACGCAAGATGTATGAGAAAGAAAAGAAAGTTTTCTTAATGAATGGTGCTGGAAAAAACTGACATTCACATGTAAAACAAGGAAACTGGAAACCACTGATAAAAATGAGCTCAAATTGCATGAAAAAATTAAATGTCACTCCTAAAACTTTAAACTCCTTCAAGATAACCTAGAGAAGTTTTAGAGATTTGCTTTTTTTATAATCTATGTAACTTTTTAAAAAGATTTTATTAGTTCTTTTCAAGACAGCACAAGAGAGAAAAAAGAGAAAGGGAGACACATCAATATGTTAGAAAAACATTGATCTGTTGCCTCTGAACATGCCCACAACTGGAGCTCTGAACAGCAACACAGGCATCTGCTCTGATTGGGAATCCAACAGGTGGTAACCTTTCCATTTGCAAGACTACGCTCAACTCACCAAGCCTCAACATTCAATGCTGCATATTTGTTTTTTAAATGATCTTCTGAATGTGAGAAGAACCACCAGGCAAAAAAGCAAATATAAACAATCCTGACTACAACAAATGAAAAAGTTTCTTTACAAAACAACAGCTATTAACATAGTGAAATGTAAAAGCAAACCTGATGATTGTGGTTCACTGGTTAGGTGTCATCCTGGAAAACAAAAGGTGACCTGTTGTTTTCCTGGTAAGGTCACAGGACTTGGTTGGGGTGGAAGAGAGGCAAAGGATCAATGTTTCTCTCCCACTGGGCTGTTTCTCCCTCTCTTTTTCCTTCCTTTCACCTCTATCTAAAAACAGAAATCACTAATATCTACAAAAATAATAATAATAAAAAGAAAAAACAGGCAATCTCAGGACCAAATAAAATACTGACAAACTATATAAAAAATGGTTTGGAGATACTGTATGTTCAGTTCAGTAAAAGTAACAAAATTTATTGATTTCCCAATGACTAATAAAGTTATGCCAACACTACATGGCAGATTATTAAAAAAGTAACACCTTAGTCTAAATAAAACTCCATATAACTTAATTAAAAATAACTCATCAGTAAATACTGATAACCAGCATCTGAACATGCTGAAACACCAGCAACAACAACCTTATTAAATACAGGGTTGCCAAATGTATTGAAAATTTTTAAAAAATACAGTATCTGTGTAGCAAAAAAAGCCATGTAACAGTAGGTGAAAAAGAAATTAATGTATAAAATATATAAGGGTTCAAAAGATTCCTTAAACTCCCCACACACACGAGAAAAAAAATACGTGTGTAACTACTCAGAAAAATGGAAAATCAAGCAGTACTTACACTGACATGTGGGAGAGAGCCCCCCCTAGAAAGCACCAGGCATAAGGAAATGCAAAGCCCAGTCTTTATCCATGGCGAGAATGAGGGTCTTACCCAGTGAGGATGCTAGTTCAAAATTTTCCAGCATCACATCCAAGTACAGGCATCTCTGATCTTCATTAAGCAGGCACCATTCTTCCCTGGAGAAGCACAAGGCAATGTCCGCAAAGGTCACACCAACCTGTCAGAATTGAGACAAATGAACCCAGGGCTGTTTGAGAATCACAGTCCTAATCCTTACACACCCTACCCACGATCAATTTCCTCCAGGGCTCCCCAGTGCAGTGCGGACATCAGGCCCTAATGCCAGGGCTGGCTGCTCTCTTCTTACAACCCCATTCAGTACTGTTCACACATTCAACAGCAGCAGCTTGCTTGGGTAACACAGGGGATGGCAGATCAATGCCATCTAAGCCTTGGTCCATGACTGCGAGGTCCCATCTTCCCTGGCAAGCAATTCCACTGAGTCTCCCAGATCATGCCTTCAAGGTACAATCACCGTTATGCCCTCACACCAGGGCCTAGGACCATCAGCTCACACTTCCTCTAGCTGTGCACACCACTGTGGAATGTCTGCCTCCTTCACATCTTCGAATCCCAGGTTCACTCTCTCAGCTCCGCCACCTTTCTGCTCCATAGCACAGGTATCCCTCTGGACTCGCCAAAGAACTACGCATATGGCATCCAGAGAGAACTTGACAGGTTCCAGCACGATCCAGCACAACCCGTTTTCTAACGGGTCCCATAGCCCACCAAAGCCCCGAATGAGGCGCTCAAGTCCTCCCTGCCTGCCTCATGATCTTTCCTTCAACAGTCACCAATCAGATTATCATAGGAAATTCAGATATGAATAACTTCGTCTACTCTGCACTGTACTTGCTGTGTCCTAAAAAACCACAACACTCTCTCCAATGAGCTTTCCTCAAGGTCCTCCACGTAGGTCCTGGGCTGCAAGACATTCGTACACTGGATGTAGGGTTCGCTGTGGTGAGGCACCTGTGGGGGGGAAGGTGTGAGGGGACTTGCACTCACCTCTGCGGGGCGTCTCCTCAAGGCCGCCAAAGGACACCGTGAGAGAGGCGGGGCGATAACGGAGGTGCAGGAGGACGCCCCCCGCTTGACTGCCCCTGTCCCGGCCCTGGCGCGGGTCACATGGGAAGTGTCGCCCAGCTTCTTGCTATCGTGTGTGCTGTGTGGACCGCGACTATGGCGTCTTCCCTGCCCGGGCATCTCCACCCGCACTCAGAGACCTGGAGCTTTGGAGCACAAACTTGAGCAGATTATGGCTGAAGCAAAATGCCCGCTGCAGCGAGACTCCGGAAGTCCCGCCCCTATCGGGCTCTCCCAACGGAAATGTCTTTTCGACCCTTCACTGGGTAGGCGTGGCGGTATTCCTCTCAGAGTGTTATGGGTAATTTGGGTCTGAGCGGCCAAGGCTGAGATCAGAGGTTTTCCCACATCACTTCCGCGGAAAAGACCAACAGCCTCCTCTTGGGGTGCTGGGAAATGACAGATGGTCAGGAAAGTCACATCTTACAAATAGCTAATGAAAGTTGTCATCCTTTCCTGGTGAAGGGGCTTGAGTCCATATTAATAAACACACATTATCTGTGAGCCCAGTATAGCCAGTCATAATAAAAGAGGTATGTCTGGATTACAGAGTCCGGAAAATTTTCTCACACAAATGACCTACTTACACCATCATATATAATACAAGGCTGTAGGATGAGCCTTTGAAAAAAAAAAAAAACTAAGATTCACAATATAAGCATTAAATGGAATTCTATTGTTCAGTTATAATTTGAATATCAATTAAGAGAAATGTTTTAGAAGTGGGAGAATTGAATTCTGAGTTTAATTATTGCTAATTGGTATTTTTAATGTGTAATCCTATTGTATTTATCATAGTAAAAGAGAATTTGTCCTTTACAGATATATTTGAGACATCAGGTGAGATGATATTTCAGGCATTCTCAATGTGTTCAGATTACAAACATATTTATAAATCAAATTTAAAGTAAATGAAGTATGTATTTATAATGAACTTTTACCTATGTATATATAGCTCAGTAACTTAAAAATCACATGACTATTATAAGAAGTTATGAGCATGCATATGTGCAGTAAACAATAAATTCAATTATGATTAGGTAAAAGGCTTTTCCTATTTTAAATTCAAAGCAAATGTGACACTGAAATAGAAAGCAAAATTTGAAAAATCCTTAACTAAGTAACGTCTTAGAAGAATTGGGGAAAACATTTTGGAAATCGTTTTTAAAGGAACATAATCTCTAGCATCCTGGAACTGGCACATAGGAAATGGTCTGACACTGTTGGGAAACTACTGACGTGGGAAGACCTTACAGCGTTTTCTTGTCCATGAAACATCTTCCCCATTAAATCAAATCTCTTTTCCCTCCTTTAAATGTGTGTTCTTAAAGTCATCAGGGTTCACAGACTCATCATTCCTGAGTGCTGGTCAATTTATGTTTCCACATAACCTGTCAGCTAGCAACGTATTAAAACATGGAATATTTTCTTTTTGGATTGTTGGCTGCTCCTTCAATAAAGCCTTTGATCAACCCCGGTTGTGATCACATGTCTTTAATCACTGCTGTATAATATACACCTAGTTCAGCCTCTGAAGCAGTGAGATAATTAGCAAATGATTATTAAAGCAATGAAACATAATGCCATGCCTACTTTTCCACTATTCTAAGTTTATCTCCCCACACCTTAATATATCTTTCTCATCTCATTTTCCCCTCAAATTCTAATGAATAAAAAGAACTGACACTTTGTAGAAATAAGAATTTCATGGTAGTCAAGTCTGGAGCATAGCCATAGTTCAAGTAAATTCTCTCACCTCTTAGAACTCACTGTCCATTTATTAGCACATATTGAAACCTGTTGTCAGGTTTCAGAGCCTTTTGTCTTCTAGCTATTAAAAAAAATGCCCATTTTAGGGGTATAAGGGTGTTAAATGGTAATGCAAAAAAAGGAATAAAATTTTTAAAATATTAAAAAAGAAAAATTATTTAGAGATTTTACACAATGTGATCAAAAGCTTTCAGAAAAGGAAAAATAAAAACTACTAAAAAGTGAAAAGTTAAAAATGTTTATTTTAGCCCTGGCTGGTGTGTCTCAGTGGGTTGAGTGCTGGCCTGTGAACCAGAAGCTACATGGGTCAATTTGCAGATGGATTATATAAGTTAAAGAAGGTTTATAAAGAGATCTTGAAATTACATAGATTAGCTAAATAATGAATTAAATTAGCAAATGAATCTAAATATCAAAAGTAAGCTAATATAGAATTTTGTTCTATTTCAGTATGTTAAATAGGAAAAATTTATATCTGCCTAGAAGGTGAGACTCTGTTTTAATAAAACATTTATGTGCCATATTGTGTTAATCAGATACTTGATTAAATTTAAAGAAAATCATTTCCCTCAATTATAAGACCTGAAATTTTTCCAGAATCTATTAATGTTTTACATTTCTATTATCACCTTCAGTAAATGAATAAAGAAATACTATTTCATAACAATATATAATCCTCAGGTCAAATATGTTTGGCAAGCTTCCCAGAGTTTAAAATTTAAAAGACTGCCCTGGCTGGTGTGACTAAGTGGATTGAGCACTGGCCTGCTAACCAGATGGTCAAGGGTTCAATTCCTGGTCATGGCACATACCTACGTCCCCAGTTGAGGGCATGTGAGAAGCAACCGATCAATGTATCTCTTATGCACTGTTTCTCTCCCTCTCTCTCTCCCTCCATTATCCTCTCTGTGAAAATAAATAAACAAAATCTTTTTAAAAATAAAAGACTTTCTTCATGTAGAAACATCTTTGAGATATTTAAATGGGTCTCTAAAATATCTCAAGGATTTATTCTTTCTCCTTATAATAGAGAAATTTTGAACTAATTAGGTCTATTTCATATGCTTAACACACATGAGAAGTTTTGCTAAGTAAAGAATTAGTAACTAGAGGGTGTTCCAGTCAAGATGGAGGCATAGGTATAAACCCTTCCCTTACTGGCAAAACCAAAAGGAAGATAACAACTAATTTAAAATCAATAAACAAACAGAAGAGCCAGAAAATCAAACTGCATGGAACTCTGACAACCAAGGAATTAAAGAAAAAGTCAAGCCTGGCTGGCCGCGCTCAGTTGAGCGCGGGCTGTAAACAAAAGTGTTGCAGGTTCGATTCCCAGTCAGGGTACATGCCTGGGTTGCAGGCCATGACCCCCAGCAACCACACATTGATGTTTCTCTCTCTCTTTCTCCCTCCCTTCCATCTCTGAAAATAAATAAATAAAATCTTAAAAAAAAAAAGAAAAAGTCAACCAGAACAATCAGACCAGGAAGGCGGTGGACTGCTCTGGCTGGCTCAGAAAAACTGAGGTGATGTGGTGGATCTTGGGGGCAGGGACAGCTGCAGCAAGGTAGTGCAGGCAGGGATGACGTAAGTGGAAACTGAGACTCAGAGTTGACTGTGGACTACGGCAGTTGTCACTGTGGGAGAAAATCCCAGCCTCACATGAAAGTCCATTAGAAAGTGCGCCAGAGAGGAGCAAGCGAGCTTCCTTGTTCCCTCTCTGGCCCCTCCTCTGCAGCTCAGAAAAGAGGGTTGCCCTTCCCCCTTACAACTTATCAAGACAAGGTGTGCCAAGACAAAGAACTATGGCCCAAATGAAAGAACAGAGCAAAACCTCAGAAAGAGAACTAAGCAAGGAGGAGATAGCCAACCTACCTGATGGAGAATTTAAAGCCCTAGGAATCAAGATCTGATTGAGGTTGGTCAAAAAATGAAAAAACAAATGAAAGATACCCAAAATGAAATACAGCAAAATATTCAGGGAATCAGCTGTTACAGGAAGGAAACCAGGATTCAAAGCAACGATTTGGAACAAAAGGAAGAAATAAACATCCAACAGGAACAGAATGAAGAAACAAGAATTCAAAAAATGAAGAGAGTCTTACAAACCCCTGGGACAACCTGAAACATTCCAATATTTGAATTATAAGGGCACCAGAAGAAGAACAACAACAGCAAGAAATTGAAAACTCATTTGAATAGTGAAGGAAAACTTCCCCAATCTGGCAAAGGAAATAGACTTCCAGGAAGTCCAAGAAGCCCAGAGGGTCCCAAAGAAGAACACACCAAGGCACATCATCATTAAGTTAGCCAAGATTAAAGAAAAAAGAGAGAATCCAAAAAGAAGCAAGAGGAAAGGAGAGAGTTACCTACAAAGGAGTACCCATAAGACTATCAGCCAATTTCTCAAAAGAAACCTTGCAGGCAAGAAGGACCTGGAAAGAAGTGTTCAAAGTCATGAAAGGCAAGGACCTACATCCAAGATTACTCTATCCAGCAAAGCTTTTATTTAGAATGGGAGGGCAGATAAAGTGTTTCCCAGATAGGGTCAAGTTAAAGGAGTTCATCACCATCAGGCCATTATTATATGAAATGTTAAATGGACTTATCTAAGAAAAAGATAAAAAATATGAATAGTAAAATGACAACAAACTCACAACTATCAACAAGTAAAACTAAAAGAAAAGAAACACAATGAAAACAAAAACAAAGCACACAACTAGAATAGAAACAGAATCAGAGAAATGGACATCACATGGAGGGATTTCAGTGGGGAGAGGGAAGGGAGGAATGAGGGGAAGTACAGGGGAGAAGAAACATGGTTAGTAGGCATAAGGTAGACAGGGAGAGATGAAAAATGGTATAGGAAAGAGAGAACTCAAAGAACTTATATGTACAACCCATGGACATGAACTAAGTGGTGCAGGGGGAATGCTGGAGGGTTGGGGTGGCAGGGAGGAGGGGGAATAAAAGGGGGAAAATTATGAAAACTGTAATAGCATAATCAATAGAACAACTTTAAAAAATAAGGAAATCAGGGCCATTCAAAAATAATTAGTAACTAGGTTCTACTTATATACACATAATTTTATTGTTAAAGTGAAAATGTAGAGGTTATATAAAAATCTCCAAAAGTCTACAAAGTTCTGATACACATTCATTTACAATATGGTGGTTATTTTGGAATGTTATGTCTTGTACAAAGGACATGAATCCATAACAGCTGCATTATAATCAGATCTGTGAGCAGGTCATTTTTGGTTTTTGGTCATCTAAACACAGTCATTGTTTTGCCCTGATACATTTACAAATACATCTCATCTTCTAAAAATCCATGGAAGAACTGACATATTCTAAATTAAAAATTTCTAAAAATAAATTTTCAGATCATACCATTAAACAGGACAAAAAAATTATAGAACTCTTAAGAATAA